TCCAATATCAAAGATGTACGCTGTAAACCAAAACTTGGCATTAGCCGGAGTATGGCCGCCATGTTGCGCGACGTCGTTTTTCGTCGTTGGGCGCACACGGCCGCGATACATGCCGCTAGCCATGTTGACCATGAAAAAAGAGTTTCATGGTTTTCTATTTCTATGCATGAATGTGGTTCTCTTCCAATAGTTATGGTGCTCCGCTATAACTGGAATACAAAACTGATACACAATTGTAACCAAGCATATAACGTGACAAAGACAGGTACATCTATTACTTACCTTTATCGGCAATTTTAACAAATAAGCTGAATCCTTCAGAAGACTTCAGTCCCAGGCGCTGCGCAACGACAGCACAAAACTCTTTCGCGCGGGTACTGGAATCTACCTCAAAGGCCTGCCAAGAGAAAAAGAAAAAACGGTCTGAAAATCAAAAAGGAAACTTGCAGCAATGTATGAACTTCAGCAAAGCGGCACAAGAGACTAACGCATCAAAAAACTCTACATACATCCATTGTGCCGCATACACTAGTCAGTTCAATTTCCAGTGCTTTCAAAAAGAGCATATTTCGCTCATGCTAAAAAGGGATCATTGTCTAATTCTGCTTAATACTTCACACACGGAATTTGCGATACTCTTCACTGAGCAAATATGTGGAATCTGTACAAAAACTCACAAAGATCATTTTGAATTCTCCATTATTGACTAAGGAAAAACTAATGTACGGTAAAGAGCAGCACTTAAATTTCTAATCAGGAAGGAAGAAGTATTACCTGATCACTATCATCGGGAAAGTACACTTTATGGAAAATCTGAGTTGTTTTGTGCTGAAATGGAATTTAGCAATTAGAATTACAGTCGAACTACCAAACAGCAGGACATGGAGTAAGTACATCACATACACCAGACGCTTAGCTTGATTGATTTTATCGACAAAAATCAACCAGCATCATGAGCAAAGGTTCGACATATTTGTTTACGGGGGAGGGGAAGGGTGGCAACATCTAAAAAGGTTTACCGGAAATAAAATATAAAAAGAAAAACGTACTGCCATCCATTCCCATAAACAATCGCGCACCTGGATTAAAAAGATTCTAGATTATCAGGTTTCACTGTAAAAATATCTTTGATATTACCGACAATATGACATTGAAAACAAACATCTAAAACAGAACTACCACACCTAAACACTATGCTACACACTACACTATACGAGCTGTTATTCTTGAGGTTCAGTTGAGATGAGAAAGCTATTAATTTTTGTTACTTATCCTAACTTATGATGTACTTTTAAAAGGGCAATGTACAATTTTTACTTATGTATGAAAACCACAGCCCACCTGTATCGCCTCCACCTCAACTATGTGAGGTGGGTATTTCCGCTGACCGACTCGTATGGTTTTCTGCAGTCTAGAGAGGCAGTCATGAGCTAGTGCCTGTTTACTGGAACATGAGCGGAATACATGGTTCACTTCCCTCATCAGCGACGAACTGAAAACAATACAAACCATGAATACAATATCGCACTGTTTAAAAACACAAGAAAACTATCCCGACTCAGATTTAAAAAGATAATTCATGAAATAAACAAACCTGCAGGCAAAGATACCGGTACAAAGCCACAACAACTCCCAGCCTTTCTCCTCACTTGAGCTGTAAAGTAAGAAGTGTACAAAAAACGAAATGAGCTAAAAGACATTCCGAGGCCAAAAAAAAAAAAAGATTTATTTAATACAACTCTGGAAAAGAACTGCAAAACACTCTTATAACATAATAGAAGTCGCAAAACTACTCGGAATAACCAGGCAAAGGAACCAAGTTGAAGAAACTGGCACACTGCAGCCGGGTACTTACGGAAGTCTGTTCTCCGTGATTTGTTTGATTAACTGACAGTAAACCTCGTCTCGCAAAGGTTCCTAAGCAAACAAACGACTGAGTCAAACTTGAGTAACAGGTTAATGGGTAACTATCTAGCACTCTCTTTTAATTATTTTATGAAAACAGAATCACGGTTACACGAAATCTACAATGCTTTAATAACGGCACAGTTTGATTACTGCAGCCCAGTCCGAGACTGGTGCAGCTGTTAATTAAGCGACAGAAACTTGAAAATCGTGCCACTAGAGTCAAGCATGTACGGGATGTGGGAAATCTGTCTTCTACTTACGTGGAGAAGAGCTGGTTCAAATATGGCGTCTGTGAGATCTGTTGTTTGGCGAAACCGTTTAGATGGATAATCACCCATGTACTTCATGATAGGTCAGATACGTCAAGGCAGTAATACACTGATCAAAAGATATGACAAACATATGCACAGGGCGATAACACACGACACGGACTCTCTTAGGTGTCAGGCCAGTCACAATAAACCAGCTGCAGGAGCAGGAGTGGCGGATAGGACGACTCTCGCTGGATGGGATGCTAGTCCACCACACGTTACTCCCAGCATTCTGTCAAGTTGCCTCACTAAATCGTTAGTACCCATTTATACTCCTGGCTGGGGAGGGGTACTGTGAACCAAGTAACCATTAGTTTTGACTACGTTGTGTCTGGTTGATAACTTGGCATGTGATAAGTAAGAGCGTGTTGAACAGGTTTTATGAACACAGAGCTTAGCGAACACAAAACTAAAGAAAACTCGTTACTCTCAGAGAGTCAACTGAAACCTTCTCAGGTTACAATAATCATAAATGAATAACTATCCTATTCTATGTTATTTGAAGGATATCCAAGAAGATCTGTGCGGCCTTCTGAGCAAGTTCCTCCTGACCTGCCAGTCGCTTTAAAAGTGGCTGCTTGATAGGATCCTGGAAACAATAACAGACTAAGAAAAAAAACTCGCAATATGGTTCACTCATGATATTTATTCTGTATATCCGTAACCCTCTCTCTGGTGCCGAGGGTAAACAGTCGAGACGCCTGAGGACTGATTATTGTGGCAAGTAACCAAGAGCAGAACATAGCGGTCATTTTAAACCCTTGGAGGATTCAACTCAACACCTCAAAAAATGATGACACTGTTGTTTAGATGTCTTCATAAAATACATCACAAGAAACAGGACAACAGTTTGAAAATTCCCAAACAAAGCAATGTCTTTTTTTCTTCGCACAGTTATTGATAACCGCTCTTTATGAATTAAAATTAGACAGGTGCAAAGAACTAAGTGTAAACTGAGCTAAAATACCTTGGTAAAAGCCCATGGTATGTTCTTGTCTCTTCTCTTGACTTGTGACTGCAATGCTTTGCTCAATGTTCTCTTAGGGGGTGGTAGAAAGTGCTCGATGGAATATTCCTCTAAAGTGTAAGGCTTTTCAAACGTTTCAACCTCCTCTGGGTAAATAGCTGTGTGAGTTGTGGCGATGATCTTTTCCGAACTTTCCAGAGACTGATCATTGAATAACGCCTGTTAAAATGTGTTTACGAATCAGTGAATGTTGCTGTAAAAATATCACAAAAAAAACTTATCGCACTTATTAAAGGTGTGTTAGCAACGCAGAAGATATTGCAATTTCTCCGTGGAAGATACAATGATAGATATTTGAAGTGAACTTACGCCAGAGTTGTAGAACCAAATGTACTTTCTATGAGAACAAGGAAATCCAGCAAGGATCGCTGAATGCATTTTTTTGGACTTCATCACAACAATCTGCTCTAAGATCCCTCGGTTTTCAATAATTTTGAGATTTTGCCAAAGAAATATTGATTATTTTGTAAACAAACTAGCGTTGTAGGTAGTCATCACCCGCTGTGAAGCGATGCGTTAAATAATTCGTGCACGAAACAAAATCACAAATGTGAAAGTGTGAGAAGTGTACCACAATATGATCAACAAATAGTTCAGCTTTAACAAAAGTTCGTTTCACCCAGTGATAAGCTCTTCCAAATTTACCACATCATGGATCTTGGAAAAGAAAAAGTCAATCTGTTTAACTCATGTAAATAATAAATGAGAAACGTCTTATAAAATAGAGACGACCAATTACATAAGTAATTAAAAGTCTCGTTCAACACAAAGTGCTTGAGGATAGGGTGATATGGCTTGACGCGTTACTCAAGACTCAACCAAACAGCAGGACATGGAGTAAGTACATCACATACACCAGACGCTTAGCTTGATTGATTTTATCGACAAAAATCAACCAGCATCATGAGCAAAGGTTCGACATATTTGTTTACGGGGGAGGGGAAGGGTGGCAACATCTAAAAAGGTTTACCGGAAATAAAATATAAAAAGAAAAACGTACTGCCATCCATTCCCATAAACAATCGCGCACCTGGATTAAAAAGATTCTAGATTATCAGGTTTCACTGTAAAAATATCTTTGATATTACCGACAATATGACATTGAAAACAAACATCTAAAACAGAACTACCACACCTAAACACTATGCTACACACTACACTATACGAGCTGTTATTCTTGAGGTTCAGTTGAGATGAGAAAGCTATTAATTTTTGTTACTTATCCTAACTTATGATGTACTTTTAAAAGGGCAATGTACAATTTTTACTTATGTATGAAAACCACAGCCCACCTGTATCGCCTCCACCTCAACTATGTGAGGTGGGTATTTCCGCTGACCGACTCGTATGGTTTTCTGCAGTCTAGAGAGGCAGTCATGAGCTAGTGCCTGTTTACTGGAACATGAGCGGAATACATGGTTCACTTCCCTCATCAGCGACGAACTGAAAACAATACAAACCATGAATACAATATCGCACTGTTTAAAAACACAAGAAAACTATCCCGACTCAGATTTAAAAAGATAATTCATGAAATAAACAAACCTGCAGGCAAAGATACCGGTACAAAGCCACAACAACTCCCAGCCTTTCTCCTCACTTGAGCTGTAAAGTAAGAAGTGTACAAAAAACGAAATGAGCTAAAAGACATTCCGAGGCCAAAAAAAAAAAAAGATTTATTTAATACAACTCTGGAAAAGAACTGCAAAACACTCTTATAACATAATAGAAGTCGCAAAACTACTCGGAATAACCAGGCAAAGGAACCAAGTTGAAGAAACTGGCACACTGCAGCCGGGTACTTACGGAAGTCTGTTCTCCGTGATTTGTTTGATTAACTGACAGTAAACCTCGTCTCGCAAAGGTTCCTAAGCAAACAAACGACTGAGTCAAACTTGAGTAACAGGTTAATGGGTAACTATCTAGCACTCTCTTTTAATTATTTTATGAAAACAGAATCACGGTTACACGAAATCTACAATGCTTTAATAACGGCACAGTTTGATTACTGCAGCCCGGTCCGAGACTGGTGCAGCTGTTAATTAAGCGACAGAAACTTGAAAATCGTGCCACTAGAGTCAAGCATGTACGGGATGTGGGAAATCTGTCTTCTACTTACGTGGAGAAGAGCTGGTTCAAATATGGCGTCTGTGAGATCTGTTGTTTGGCGAAACCGTTTAGATGGATAATCACCCATGTACTTCATGATAGGTCAGATACGTCAAGGCAGTAATACACTGATCAAAAGATATGACAAACATATGCACAGGGCGATAACACACGACACGGACTCTCTTAGGTGTCAGGCCAGTCACAATAAACCAGCTGCAGGAGCAGGAGTGGCGGATAGGACGACTCTCGCTGGATGGGATGCTAGTCCACCACACGTTACTCCCAGCATTCTGTCAAGTTGCCTCACTAAATCGTTAGTACCCATTTATACTCCTGGCTGGGGAGGGGTACTGTGAACCAAGTAACCATTAGTTTTGACTACGTTGTGTCTGGTTGATAACTTGGCATGTGATAAGTAAGAGCGTGTTGAACAGGTTTTATGAACACAGAGCTTAGCGAACACAAAACTAAAGAAAACTCGTTACTCTCAGAGAGTCAACTGAAACCTTCTCAGGTTACAATAATCATAAATGAATAACTATCCTATTCTATGTTATTTGAAGGATATCCAAGAAGATCTGTGCGGCCTTCTGAGCAAGTTCCTCCTGACCTGCCAGTCGCTTTAAAAGTGGCTGCTTGATAGGATCCTGGAAACAATAACAGACTAAGAAAAAAAACTCGCAATATGGTTCACTCATGATATTTATTCTGTATATCCGTAACCCTCTCTCTGGTGCCGAGGGTAAACAGTCGAGACGCCTGAGGACTGATTATTGTGGCAAGTAACCAAGAGCAGAACATAGCGGTCATTTTAAACCCTTGGAGGATTCAACTCAACACCTCAAAAAATGATGACACTGTTGTTTAGATGTCTTCATAAAATACATCACAAGAAACAGGACAACAGTTTGAAAATTCCCAAACAAAGCAATGTCTTTTTTTCTTCGCACAGTTATTGATAACCGCTCTTTATGAATTAAAATTAGACAGGTGCAAAGAACTAAGTGTAAACTGAGCTAAAATACCTTGGTAAAAGCCCATGGTATGTTCTTGTCTCTTCTCTTGACTTGTGACTGCAATGCTTTGCTCAATGTTCTCTTAGGGGGTGGTAGAAAGTGCTCGATGGAATATTCCTCTAAAGTGTAAGGCTTTTCAAACGTTTCAACCTCCTCTGGGTAAATAGCTGTGTGAGTTGTGGCGATGATCTTTTCCGAACTTTCCAGAGACTGATCATTGAATAACGCCTGTTAAAATGTGTTTACGAATCAGTGAATGTTGCTGTAAAAATATCACAAAAAAAACTTATCGCACTTATTAAAGGTGTGTTAGCAACGCAGAAGATATTGCAATTTCTCCGTGGAAGATACAATGATAGATATTTGAAGTGAACTTACGCCAGAGTTGTAGAACCAAATGTACTTTCTATGAGAACAAGGAAATCCAGCAAGGATCGCTGAATGCATTTTTTTGGACTTCATCACAACAATCTGCTCTAAGATCCCTCGGTTTTCAATAATTTTGAGATTTTGCCAAAGAAATATTGATTATTTTGTAAACAAACTAGCGTTGTAGGTAGTCATCACCCGCTGTGAAGCGATGCGTTAAATAATTCGTGCACGAAACAAAATCACAAATGTGAAAGTGTGAGAAGTGTACCACAATATGATCAACAAATAGTTCAGCTTTAACAAAAGTTCGTTTCACCCAGTGATAAGCTCTTCCAAATTTACCACATCATGGATCTTGGAAAAGAAAAAGTCAATCTGTTTAACTCATGTAAATAATAAATGAGAAACGTCTTATAAAATAGAGACGACCAATTACATAAGTAATTAAAAGTCTCGTTCAACACAAAGTGCTTGAGGATAGGGTGATATGGCTTGACGCGTTACTCAAGACTCAACCAAACAGCAGGACATGGAGTAAGTACATCACATACACCAGACGCTTAGCTTGATTGATTTTATCGACAAAAATCAACCAGCATCATGAGCAAAGGTTCGACATATTTGTTTACGGGGGAGGGGAAGGGTGGCAACATCTAAAAAGGTTTACCGGAAATAAAATATAAAAAGAAAAACGTACTGCCATCCATTCCCATAAACAATCGCGCACCTGGATTAAAAAGATTCTAGATTATCAGGTTTCACTGTAAAAATATCTTTGATATTACCGACAATATGACATTGAAAACAAACATCTAAAACAGAACTACCACACCTAAACACTATGCTACACACTACACTATACGAGCTGTTATTCTTGAGGTTCAGTTGAGATGAGAAAGCTATTAATTTTTGTTACTTATCCTAACTTATGATGTACTTTTAAAAGGGCAATGTACAATTTTTACTTATGTATGAAAACCACAGCCCACCTGTATCGCCTCCACCTCAACTATGTGAGGTGGGTATTTCCGCTGACCGACTCGTATGGTTTTCTGCAGTCTAGAGAGGCAGTCATGAGCTAGTGCCTGTTTACTGGAACATGAGCGGAATACATGGTTCACTTCCCTCATCAGCGACGAACTGAAAACAATACAAACCATGAATACAATATCGCACTGTTTAAAAACACAAGAAAACTATCCCGACTCAGATTTAAAAAGATAATTCATGAAATAAACAAACCTGCAGGCAAAGATACCGGTACAAAGCCACAACAACTCCCAGCCTTTCTCCTCACTTGAGCTGTAAAGTAAGAAGTGTACAAAAAACGAAATGAGCTAAAAGACATTCCGAGGCCAAAAAAAAAAAAAGATTTATTTAATACAACTCTGGAAAAGAACTGCAAAACACTCTTATAACATAATAGAAGTCGCAAAACTACTCGGAATAACCAGGCAAAGGAACCAAGTTGAAGAAACTGGCACACTGCAGCCGGGTACTTACGGAAGTCTGTTCTCCGTGATTTGTTTGATTAACTGACAGTAAACCTCGTCTCGCAAAGGTTCCTAAGCAAACAAACGACTGAGTCAAACTTGAGTAACAGGTTAATGGGTAACTATCTAGCACTCTCTTTTAATTATTTTATGAAAACAGAATCACGGTTACACGAAATCTACAATGCTTTAATAACGGCACAGTTTGATTACTGCAGCCCGGTCCGAGACTGGTGCAGCTGTTAATTAAGCGACAGAAACTTGAAAATCGTGCCACTAGAGTCAAGCATGTACGGGATGTGGGAAATCTGTCTTCTACTTACGTGGAGAAGAGCTGGTTCAAATATGGCGTCTGTGAGATCTGTTGTTTGGCGAAACCGTTTAGATGGATAATCACCCATGTACTTCATGATAGGTCAGATACGTCAAGGCAGTAATACACTGATCAAAAGATATGACAAACATATGCACAGGGCGATAACACACGACACGGACTCTCTTAGGTGTCAGGCCAGTCACAATAAACCAGCTGCAGGAGCAGGAGTGGCGGATAGGACGACTCTCGCTGGATGGGATGCTAGTCCACCACACGTTACTCCCAGCATTCTGTCAAGTTGCCTCACTAAATCGTTAGTACCCATTTATACTCCTGGCTGGGGAGGGGTACTGTGAACCAAGTAACCATTAGTTTTGACTACGTTGTGTCTGGTTGATAACTTGGCATGTGATAAGTAAGAGCGTGTTGAACAGGTTTTATGAACACAGAGCTTAGCGAACACAANTCCAATATCAAAGATGTACGCTGTAAACCAAAACTTGGCATTAGCCGGAGTATGGCCGCCATGTTGCGCGACGTCGTTTTTCGTCGTTGGGCGCACACGGCCGCGATACATGCCGCTAGCCATGTTGACCATGAAAAAAGAGTTTCATGGTTTTCTATTTCTATGCATGAATGTGGTTCTCTTCCAATAGTTATGGTGCTCCGCTATAACTGGAATACAAAACTGATACACAATTGTAACCAAGCATATAACGTGACAAAGACAGGTACATCTATTACTTACCTTTATCGGCAATTTTAACAAATAAGCTGAATCCTTCAGAAGACTTCAGTCCCAGGCGCTGCGCAACGACAGCACAAAACTCTTTCGCGCGGGTACTGGAATCTACCTCAAAGGCCTGCCAAGAGAAAAAGAAAAAACGGTCTGAAAATCAAAAAGGAAACTTGCAGCAATGTATGAACTTCAGCAAAGCGGCACAAGAGACTAACGCATCAAAAAACTCTACATACATCCATTGTGCCGCATACACTAGTCAGTTCAATTTCCAGTGCTTTCAAAAAGAGCATATTTCGCTCATGCTAAAAAGGGATCATTGTCTAATTCTGCTTAATACTTCACACACGGAATTTGCGATACTCTTCACTGAGCAAATATGTGGAATCTGTACAAAAACTCACAAAGATCATTTTGAATTCTCCATTATTGACTAAGGAAAAACTAATGTACGGTAAAGAGCAGCACTTAAATTTCTAATCAGGAAGGAAGAAGTATTACCTGATCACTATCATCGGGAAAGTACACTTTATGGAAAATCTGAGTTGTTTTGTGCTGAAATGGAATTTAGCAATTAGAATTACAGTCGAACTACCAAACAGCAGGACATGGAGTAAGTACATCACATACACCAGACGCTTAGCTTGATTGATTTTATCGACAAAAATCAACCAGCATCATGAGCAAAGGTTCGACATATTTGTTTACGGGGGAGGGGAAGGGTGGCAACATCTAAAAAGGTTTACCGGAAATAAAATATAAAAAGAAAAACGTACTGCCATCCATTCCCATAAACAATCGCGCACCTGGATTAAAAAGATTCTAGATTATCAGGTTTCACTGTAAAAATATCTTTGATATTACCGACAATATGACATTGAAAACAAACATCTAAAACAGAACTACCACACCTAAACACTATGCTACACACTACACTATACGAGCTGTTATTCTTGAGGTTCAGTTGAGATGAGAAAGCTATTAATTTTTAGCAATGTAGAGCCTGAGATAAGTGTATGAACACTCCCAAAGAAAAATAATTTACAAGTTTAAAAAGCCAACATTGTTTGGACATGCTTTCTTTGTTTTATTCCTAACAATGATATCGTCATGTACGCTGCAGTCAGCTTACCAGGGTATCAGATGATGGTTTAGCAATGGTGGGCAGTACATAAACACATTCAGCCGGAAAGTCTCCTTTCCTTCCGGTCCTTTCACAGATTCCAGAACACCATCCAGAGTTCAGAACTGTCTCTCCTGTGTCACTCTCAAGAATGATCAAATCACCTTTCTTGAAACTCAGGAATGATGAGCTCTCAGCTGAAAACAAACAAACAAACTGCTGTGTATTAAAGTGGCCATGTCTTACTACCTTAACTGATTTTGTATCGACTTGTGTAAGGTGGTCACGTCAAAACTATTTAGACGATTACGTCGCAATTGTTGCTCAGATTCAATGAAACTTGATGACACTTCAAAAAAATCGTTTGCAAGGAAAGCAAAATAAAGGAATAAAATTAAATAACTGATAAGATTAAGCTAAAGTTGATTTTAATTGAGCAGAGAAAAATGAGGTCAAGGTCAATAACTATGACAACAAGGTCATTCTCACTGGGGAGGGGACGGAGATAAAAGCACTACATCCCCACCTGGACTCTGATAGTCAACCATTGCCACGACATATTTGGATCTTTTTCTTAATCCCTCAAGGAAGAACTGTACCAGCTCTTGGATGTCATCAGAGTTAGCTGACGTGAAAGTGTATTCGTCTCCTTTGACTGTGGTAAGTGTAAAACTTGAGCTGTCTGACTTCAAGGTCCTGCCACACACACACAACAATTGTCTGTTGGATACTGAAAAACTTCGTCAAACAATTCTCTTTTATAATTAACTGAAATGTAGTTAAGACACGTTTCAAATCATCACGTCATAGAACAATAAGAAAATATTTTCCGTTAAATTCAAAAAAATGTTTCGAGAGAAACTATCTGTTAAATTAGTCATGACCCTAACTGTTACCTTTGTGATAGAATAACTCACAAAACTAGAATAATGATACACAGCTAAAAAAGGAACAATGTACAGGTGAAAGGAAACAACAACTAGAGGCTGGTAAGCCTGTGATCTCTGGAGACTCTCAGTTATGGTCGTCATAAATAAATTACAATGTTTAGAGAGGAAGCCACATCAGCCCTAGCTGGTTTTCATGTGGCTCCTCTATCCTGGTCGAACTGGAATTTACAAATGTTGGTTTTTGTGGAGGGAGGAAAACCGGAGAACCCAGAGAGAAACCCTCCAAGCATGTCTAGAATCAACAAAAAACTCAACTCACAAATGGCACCGGGCCTTAATCGAACCCAGGCCACATTGGTGGGAGGCGAGTGCTCTCACCACTGCACCATCCCTGCTCCCCTAAATAAGTAAGTAATATGAGCATCAAATCCTTTACAGTGTCAATTCGTGAATAATCAACAGATATGAAAGTGTGTAGTACTGTAATGATGTTAGAAAACAGCTTTAGGAGGTGATATTATTTACCTTATGCTTGTGACAGTAGTGATCTCGGGAAACTGAAGATCAAGCAGCACATGTTCTTGATCATCAACAACATAAACTCCAGTCCAGTTCACTGCTACTATCACGTCATTCTGTGGCAGACTGGGGCCTGAAAACTGGTAAGCTTCATAAAATCGAGAGAACAACAGTGGCCACTTATAACGAGCGTAGTTGACAATATCTTCTTTGACGCTCTGAGGATTAATCTTCTCAGCCGTGTAGTATCCCTGTTAAACGGTACACATACAATATCAAACACAAGCACCTTGGTACATGAATGGAATTTCCAGCCTCTCTCCAATGTCTTCACGTATTCTTTCACTTCAATCTCTCTCTACGCATTGCACACTCTCTTCTTTTCTCTTCAAGTATCCGCAATCTCCCTCTACGTATTCACACTTCCCCCAATCTCTCTCCACGAATTCACACTCCCCCAATCTCTCTCCACGAATTCACACTCCCCCAATCTCTCTCTACGAATTCATACTTTCCTCAACATCCCTTCTTGTATCCATACTTTACCCAACTCTCTTTTGAACGTCGCGTATGCACATTGTACAGGAGACGCACGTTAAATGAAATGTTTTGCAGTCTAGGTTAAACAAAAAAAGGAAAAAGACTTAGTGATGTTAACTTAAAATGTGTTTGTTGGTGTAACGTACCTTTTTATGGCAGTTCATTACAAGGTGAGCCCACTTCTCTAACCCTACCCTACCCCCCTGCAGCTGACTCTCAGGGAGGTAAGAGGGCAGTAGGTTGAGTAGTCTGTCTGGTAGCATTTCCTTACCATACTCAACATAGTACTGCTTAGCAGCCACGTCTGCCAAATCTTCATCCTGTAAACAAGGTGAAAAGTTCTTGTGTTAATACATTACGCTAAACTAAAAACCAAAGGAAACAAACAAAAACAAAACAAAAAATGTGTCTTCAAGAAAACGAGATCAGCATTGTGGTGGTAAATATAAAGCTGGTCTCCATTTGATTTGGTCTCTGAAATGAATGAGCTGGATAGACCTGACCCAATGAGCTGCTGTTACAGAGTGCAAGTCGCGTGTCCTTATAAATATAACAACAGCCACATAATTATAACTAAAAGTAAGAAGTTTGCCTGCCCTGAAGCTGACTGCAGGGTCTCCAAATACAGCAACAAGATACAAGACAGAGACGAGATTAAGCCCGCACCATGCCATAACTACAGTGACGTGAGATGTGACCTCACCTTATCACAGCGATATTCCCCAAACTTAACTCCTCTGACCACCTGTTGGTAAATAAGATTTGTGCCTATTTGATCCACGGTAGGATCGTGCCATGGAGAGAAGATTTCTTTCCTAAAGAACAACCGCCATGGTGCGTTCATCTCCTTCGCTCCTTTCTCTTTAGCGTACTGTTCACACTGTGAAATGGCATCCATCACGTGATCACTTCCACTACCGAGACTTGACACCTACAGTAAGAACAAGTCCAGTAAGGTTGTAAGTATCATACCCCAAAGTGATCTGGAATAACGCCAATCAGTAAGATATGTATTATTGTGAAGTTTTCCAAACTTGCTTGTTGAGCCGTGTAGAACACTTACCTTGTCAAAGAGTGCAATGTACAGTGAAAATCCAAACTGATCTGTGAGTGAGATCTTGTCAGCCAGCTGACTGCACAGTTCCTTTGCTGTTGTAGCGGAGTCCGCTAGAAGAGTCTTTGTTGTTCCATCCATGAATGTTATTGGCAACATCAGAGGCTTCTTGGATTTAGTAGCCTGGTCAATTGGAACACATCAAATAAGTTTTAAAAAAGAAACATTGAATGGATGTTTTATTGGAAAAAATACTAAAGCTTCATATCAAATCAAGACTCTATATATTAGTGCACGACTAAAACAGAAAAACTAGAATCACCCGTGTACCTGTAACTCAAGCCAGCTGGGGGGCTGGTGCCGACATCCATTCTGCTGTGTTCTTCTTAGCCTCTCCTCACAATATGGCGCATATCCAGGGGGTCCGTCTCCAATGAAACACTTTAGGTATTTAACAAACTACAGCAGCAACAGGAAAAATACCCCAGAAAAGAATGAAATACAGAAAATGAATGAAAAGAATATGGAAAGCAAGAAACAGACTTACTTTGAAGTCGAACTTACAACTATAAACAGATGAGTGAGTTAGCTGCGAATTCATTAGCCTAGGGTTACAACCACTTCTTATCGCTTCTCGTAAGTTTGATTTTCGGTAGCGACGTGCGGTGGCTGTATCGGCATGCTATTAATTCAAAAGAATGGTCCAATAGAGAAAATAATACATCACTTCGATTATGTCCAATTTTTTTTTTTAACTGACGTTAAAACAATTGTTTGAGACTCGTTACAAAGAGTTTTGGAAAGGAAGTTTAAGAAGTTGAAAGAGATCAGTTACACTGTAGAGGCAGGGACAGGAGCACAGGAAATGAGTGTTGACTGACCTTTCCTGATGGCGCAAAACATCCAAGACAAAGTGACATTAGAATCCATCCTCGCGCATGACTGGACTTGGAAGGATTTTGACTTAACTGTTTACAAATCTGACAGTAAATTTCATCTCTGAGGTCAGGTCTTAATATCCCGTGGCCGATAATGAAGTGAAGTTTTTCTAAGTTGGAGGTCGGTCGATCTTGAGCTGACAGAGGGCCATAGCCTTCAGTCAGGGTTCCACTTTCTTCTGCTTCTTTTAACTTTGCTGTCACATCCTAAAAAGACCAAAATTACATGTTTGATGCGTTGACATCAGAAAAATAAAGATACCTTCGAAATGATCAGTAATATCCTACGGTAGAGAAGTCAAAATACGACACACCTCGTACACAACCCAACCCAACAAACACAACGCAACGCAACGCAACGCAACGCAACGCAACGCAACGCGACGCAACGCGACAAAACACAACACAAAGTTTCTGGGAATAAAGTGTGACGGTCGGTTGTGAGCGGTACTTCGAATGACATTGTTCACTGTTAAACATTTTTCAAAGTTCAATTTTATATATTTGAAACAATTTGTATGGTTGACCACATGACCCACCTTGGTTATTTTTGACTTCTTTTTCAACGTTAGTGACACGATTTTCTTTCGAAGTGTTTCTCTTTTCTCTTTACTCAATGCATTGCTGGATCCCTGAAACGTTATGAGGATACATCGAATATGTTAAAAATGTTGAATGTTTATAGTGGTCGATGCGCTTAGCTTCAGCTAGCTAGTTCTCAGGCATGCCACTTAAACTGAAAGAAAGAAATATTTCAAATAAACATAGTAGGCTTACAAATCCCAACTGGCGGGAGGGAACAGTTGGCTATTTACAAGCATGACCGGGTAGTTGAACTAGGGTCTACCGAGAAACAACTCCAGCTTAGTGGTCAGAACGGGACTTGAACCCGCGACCCCAAGTCCGGCGCCCTAACCACTCAGCCATACTGCTTCCCTTGGCCTTCCCATCCTATTAGGCAAGAATAAAACGTTAAACACACAAAAATTGAGCAGAAAAGTGTGCATACACACCCCAAAGTCTTGCACTCCATCGATTCCCTTTGCCTTGTATTTCCTACCAAGTGTATCGTATATCTTGCTCATCACAGAGTTATCCTGTGCAGATACAATTCGTACACTGCATAAGGAAACGAATCAACGCCGCCGGAGTAGAAAATCTGAAAGAGGTTTCACTGAGCGACTAAAAACACGTTCTAGGCTGGACCAGATTTTTTCCACTATACATGTACTTCTTTAAGCTCTGGAAAACTAGTCCGCAGTCTAGTCTTGCAGATTTTGGTAAAGTCTGCATACGAGCCAAGTGGCTCATCAGGCCGGAGCTTATCCCGGTTTCTTCTCCCCCTTGATGGGAAGCTAGTACATCGCAGGGTTAACCCCAACATTACATTCACCGGTACCCATTAATACACCTGGGTGGAGAGAGGCACTGTGAGAGTTAAGAACACAACACAATGTCCCCGGTCAGGGTTCGAACCCGGACCGCTCAATCCCGAGTCCAGCGCACTAACCATGAGGCCACCGCATCTCCACCTTGCAGATTTTACTATGCCGATAAATTAAATTGCGCCGTCACATTGCAATGCCTTAACTTTAACAATCAAGCTACTCAAGACGATGCATTTTGTAGGGTGGGTTATTCATTTCCATGTAACTGTCGAGTCTCATGTTGTATATACCACGGTACCTTGGTGTCTGGTTGTGAAGTGATGTACTTGGGCTCCGGCAAATCTCCCAAGAATCTTAGAATCGTAATCCACACAGCTAATGCAGCCTGCCGAGAGATGTTTCAAGGCCTTAGATCACACTGATATGCTGACTAGATATCTAGGTGTAGTCAGGTAAATATGACTTTGTGAGTGACCTGATTGACTCCTTTCTCACAATTATTGGACATGCTAAATCATCTAATCGTACAAAGTTAATCAATTCAAAACTTTGAGCTTGAACTGAGAAGCGAAACATGAAGAATTGGATACGAGGAACTACTTTACAAAATAAATTCCGGTGTGTCAAATAGAAACAAGAAATATCTGTTCTTTCAAAAACATGTTTCCATTCTCCTAACAAACGTTACCGTAAAATATTTGCTCGATGAAAGCCAAATACTACAGAAATTGTCGTATACAAAAAAGATTCATTTTGGTGTGGACTGTCTACACGGGCACAGATGACGTCAACACGTCATAAAGGCATAACAATGTGTCTGTCTCTTACCATGCTGTCCGCCTCACTGGTCAGCGGTAGGAGAGACTGTTTCAGTGGTCGTCTGATGTATGCAGGAGTGACTCCTCCTTGAAAGTACGTGGCTGCGAACTTCGAAAACTTGAACTGTGAAACATCTTCTTCGGGCTGCAATGAAAAAACTCACGGTTATCAAAGAACACGATAACATAAATACCGCTGGATGGTATACATGAATATAGGATCAGTGAGCAACCATTCCACACACGCCAAGGACAAAGATTTCTAAAATTATATTCAACTTTTTCATACTTAAATATTCAAAGACAACGTTAAGATCTATCGAAACATTGAATATTCTCTCTCAGGTCACAAGAAATTTTTCCGCAGTAGAAAATAGATTTTAAAAAAAAACTAAAAAAGAAGTATAACGCATGTGCAAAGCTACTGTACTACTCATTAAATCTTTTATTAATGGAGCTCCTCGTTGTCTCGTCACACTGATAGTTTACTCAGAATGCCTATAGTGGAAGGAAATTAGTCGCAAGCCACAAAACAACAAAAGGAACAGCAACGCAGCTGTGAGAGGATTTGCAGAGGTATTGACAAGCCTGACAACCGGGGTCGCTTACCTCGGGTGCCGCAGGCACTGCTGACATTTCCTCGGTTGCAAACTCGACTTCTTGTGCTGGTTCCAGATCCTGAAAGACAAATTAAGAGTATTCAAAACAATCTGATAAACCTTATGTGTCAGAAGACTTTTGAAAATTGGCTTCTGCTCGACTGAAATTGTAACTGAAGACACATTTCGTCTGCAAAATGGTTGAGCTCAAGTAAAATCTAACTCTTCCAATAGATATAGACCCCCGCGAGAATATTAAAATAAAACGGAAATCTCACCCTAAATAAAAGCAAAACGCCAAACATAACGTCACGAAATAAGACATCATATGTAGTATAATTACAGTTGAACGTGTAATGATCACACGCTTACCTTGAAGGCCGTAGGAGCTGACACGGTTGCCAGTGTCTTTTCCTCTGGTAGAAAACCGAACATTTCATCAACCTTTGAATAAACAAACACTTCTTACTAAAACAAACAACACAAATCAAAACCGACTATAATCACAAACTAAAGCCTTCTATTCTTATGGTTAGTCACGTCACTACAATGCTCAGAACATAGCGTGCTCACAAGAAATCAACAATAATTTGACTTCACACTGAAGCAAGGATAGAAGTCACGCGAACAAATGGTCATGAATGTGGACAGAGATATATTACGACATGTACTAAGAAGAGAACCAAGTATGGAAATTCAGCCAAGTGAACGTCTCAAAACGTTTACCCTGAAAAACACGTGTGAGAATTCCTACCTCTCCTTGGAAATTTAAAATTTCATTTAATAACAAAAGTTCGTCTTCACTGTCACTGTTAAGATTCTCATCAGCTGTGTTATCCAGTATTCCGTCAACGCCATCAATATTGTCTGGATCAGACACGAAATCTTCAAATTCGACAATCCTTCTCTCTTTTGTCTCGTAAAAGAATCCTTCGAATCCATCGACATCCATGTACTCTGGAGACTCTGTTTGCCTCACAGAACTCGACTTTGGATTCGAGGTATTCATTTTGTGTGCAGTTAAAACGCCGGTGTATGGCTAAAATCTGCGACAAGATACCTGCATACAAACGCGAACTACAAAGCCTCCACAGATCGATACTATTAAATTTCACTTCACGCGATAACCAAAGAATGTCGTCAACTTGGTTGGAGGTCAACAACCTTCCAAAAACACAGTCTACGTGACAGAAATCGTAAATGATATAATAAATTTTGCAAACAAGTCTGTATCGCAAAAAACGACCTTGCTATACATATTACTAAAATTATTTTTAAAAAAAAAATAAGGAAAGCCTGGTCAACACTACCAAGTACCACAGTTTGTACACTGTAGCCTTTTTCCTTGCACTCCCTTTTTCCTTTGTGCGCATTCCCCAACAAGAAATAAAATATTTTACCACAATTGCTACTAATCTCGCAATCTGATTGGCTTATTTGCCGTTGTCTATAAGAGTCCAGACAACGCTGCTCGCGTCAATGTGTAACGCAATGCCTTTTTCAGCTCGCGCTCTGAAAAAAAACATATTCTTTGACGTTGATATTGTGATAAAAAACAAATCGAAAACCACATTCGATTTGCTAAACTGCTCAAAAGTAGAGTTGAACGTTCCGAGTTCAGCTTCAATCTCTGGTAACAATTAGATGGAAATAAACATCTGTGTGGTTAATTTGCCGTTTGGGTCGGGAATTAACTTATTTTAACCAGTCGTTATCTACAGCTGTGAAAAATTTCTTGTGTAATTTATCACTGCTGTTCTTGTATGATTACTACTCTGCAATCGGGCCTACGCTTGATAAGTACACGGCTGCTAGTCATCAGTGAAGTCAAGACACTCGTGCAATATAATGCTTACCATTTTCGAATCATCCACATCTTCCTCTCGCCGTTTCTTGGCCATGGCTTCTGCAACTTCTATTTCATGTTTCTTTTTCTCAGCTTCCCGTTTCTTTCGTTCATGTTCCTCTTTTTCTTCCTGCTCAATTTTGGCCATGCGTTCCTGTGAAATAGTAGAACAAGGAGAGAAAACCCTTTGATCAAACATACCAGCAAAAATCGCCAGTTTCTGAGAAGATATACAAAATTAAAGTTTGACATAACTCTTTGAG